TCCACCGGCGGACCCCTCATGGGGCGGGGTGTGTGGCGTTATGACACACTTCTGGTGATGTCAGGAGGTGTGGCCTTATGACACACGTCCGGTGATGACAGGGGATGTGGCATATCCTAATGAGTTATGCTAAGGAGTTCCCCTAGCTCTTTTTCTACGAAATGATCCCTGGTGCCTGTCATATAATAGGAGTGGGACTCTCAGCTTAGAGCAATGGCCCCTTACAGACACTCATCTTCCCTGTCTCCTGGTGTATTTATTCTACAGCCACAAATATTATGTCACATGTAGAAATGTATTCATTATTTATTTATTTTTAAGGAAAAACCTAAATTCACCTCCCTGGAAACTGATCACCTATCTGTGATGTATTCCTGATCACTTATCTGTGGTATATTACTGAGGAGCCCCCTAGTTAAAACCTGCCATGTTATCGACTGGCACCTCTGAAGACAGGAGTCAAATAAGAAGAGGAGATTGGATTTATCCCCCACCCTTCACTTGGAGTCTCAGAGCGGCTTACAAACCCCCGTTCCCTTCCCCTCCCCACAACGAACACCCTGTGAGGTATGTGAGGCTGAGAGAGCTCTTTCAAGTACCTCCCTGTCAAGGACAGCTCTCATCAGAACTAAGGCTTACCCAAGGTCATCCAGCTGCTGCAAGTGGAGGAGTGTGGAATCAAACCCAGTTCTCCTAGATTAGTCAGCACACTTAACACTACCCGACTGCACAGAGATGGGTGGCCAGTGTATCAACGTAGGGAGATATAGTCGCCGTCTTCTTCCCTCTGCTAAAGAGGGCAACTGAGGTTTCTGCTCCTGGTGCCAAACCCGCGCAGAAACTATTTGTGATATAGAAGTACTAAGCCGTTCTGCAGAAGTATTAAGAGATGCTGAATAAGCCCCCTTCTAAAAACCATTTCAAAGGGCAGCCACAGCCAAAACAGCCTGGAATGCAGACAGATGCTTCAAGCCCAGCCCGCCCCCTGTCAGGTATAACCAGCCACCGCAGGCCTGGTTACAGAATAACGCCACCTAGGCTATCAAGTGCCAGGGGGCGTTAGTGCTACTTTGGGCCCTCTAAAATGGTTGCCTCTGTCCCAGCCAACTGTCACCTAAAATAGCCGCCCATAAACCCCTCATAAAATGGCCTCCCCTAAAGCGGGGGGAGGGTAGATAATAGATCCCACACCTTCTAGTAGCCTACTTAGGCTTCATTTGTGGGCAGGAAAATGGTGGGGGGGAGGCTTTGTCAGCGATTACACTTGAGTTGTGCAGACTAAGCCTTGATCTGGGCAGAAGGGGGCGAGAACGGCAGACTAAGCAGCCTTACCAACTTGTGCCACTCCCAGACCCTAAAGGCCCTAGTTAACTCCCCCCCCCCCAGGAATCAGGCAAATGAAGCCCTGGGCCAGAGAGGGCCTCCCTACAGGTGCAGGATACAGTGCACCCCTAAAGCTCCATCACTCAGCCGCTGATGCATTTTTTTCCTTTTAAATACTGGGGCCACCCTGTTTTTGTTTTTACAGATAGTGAGGCACTGCAGCAAGCAGTCTTGCTGCCACTGTGCACCTCCTCAGATGCTTCAGCCACCGATGTGGCCCTGCAGCTCGCAAAGGCGACGTGCACTGCTGCCACCGCCTCAGAACACTGCCGCACCCCAGCTGACCGACAACGGTCCCCTGCAGCCAGATTTGGGCTGCCACCACCAGATTCGGGCCACCGCCGGGCTCAGGCCACTACCGGGGAAAAAGGAGCCGAAACAGGCAGGCCAGCAGATCTCCTCAGAGTGCTCAACAAGTGAGCACATCGGAGCAACTGCCAAAGGGTGGGAGTGGAGCCTGGACATTTATTCAGGCCGGCTCCGCCCCCTGCCTGCGTCCTGATGCCAGGCATCAGGCTCTGTTGCTGCCTCTGTCTTCCTCGGAGCGGCAAATCAGCCCCCGGTGACCAGCGGCATTGCTGGGTCCCCAGGAGCTTTGTTATACAGGTTATGTCTCTGGTACCTGACTTTGCTTTATGTATATTGATGTCACATTGTCTCTGATAAGGCAATATTACTTGTACTCTTAGGACCTAAATTGGAAGGTACATATTGGTACTGATATTATTTCCAGTATATGCAACTAATTCTGACACAAGAATTAGTGTCCCCAAATAAAAATCTTTTGGTGTGTCATTCAATTCCAGATTGGAACACTCCATTTTTGGTCCTATATTAATTGTTTACTACCTTACATGTGTAACAGGGACTTTGTTGCATGCTGTATTGTGTACTTTGTACTATTTGACCTCTGAAGAAGGCTCTTGTGTGCCGAAATGCAGCAGGTCATACACTGTTCTCTTTTGTGTATTTGTTACTTTGAACATTTTATGAGGCTTTATTTGGGTCTCTACAAAGTTTTTATATGTCTTTGAAATAAATATTCTTTTGTCTATACCTATTTATGTTTTTTAAATTTTGGCCCTCAATAAGTTTTCTAAACTTCCTTTGGAGGTTTATGTTTTATGGCAGACATGGCCCAGTTTGACAAAGAGATGTTTATGTCAGATCCAGCTTTCATAAGAAATGTGTTTGACACCTCTGCTTTACCTATTTTTAGATAATTTTTTTCTAATTTCAGGAAAAAATTGTTAAATGGATAGTTTGGGCAATACCTGTTTCAAGCAGTTATACTTTATAAATATTAACTAGAAGTAAATTGTACACAAAACAGCACATATTAAGAGCACATATTATATTTTTATTACATTTAATGTCAAATGTTACATATAGCAGTGGTATACAGGTGCAACTGCCTCTCACGTTTACACAGCTTGACTATTTCTAAATCTAATATATAAATACATAAATAAAAGTTGGTTTCGGATTTAATTAACTCTAACAGATAAGCCATCAAAATAGCAAAAATATACATTTTTTAAAAAGGTAAACTAGATTTTGTTCTCCTGATTGCACGGTCATTTTCATTCATAGACTGAAAAATAAGTACAAGCTTTCCTGCTTTTTCTATTCCCAGACAATTTCAGTGTGGGACTATGCAGAGCACCTCTTGATACTTGCAGATGTCTCTCACTTGGGTCCTCCCAGCAACATTGAGGTTGGTCTCAAAAGTTGGAAAGGGTCTCTTCACCCTGTATCTTTCTCCTCTCCTGGACATTCTCTTGACCTCTTTAAATAGTTCCCACATCTCTGACAATTGTTGCAGCTGCAACTCATGGCTAAGTGTACATTGCTTGGACAGAAGCTCTCAAGATCTTCTTATCCACAGTGACTACTACAAAAGTGGAAATTAAATTTTGGTAACTTCTGTATTATGTAACATTAGGAATGTGATAGTGCAGCTGCTAGAAACAGATTTACAAAACACAATGGAAAATAAAACCAAGGATTGTCAATGACAATTTCATGAACAGCCCTCCATCTTTTGTACTCCCCCCTTCTTTAAAATAGAGGGCCTTCTAGTATTTTACAGAAACCAGAGTTGTGTGATAATCTCAGTATCCATGAATGACGGGGATTTGTTATAAGTCAGAGTTCAGACAACAGAGATTTCTATGATGTTATAAAAATTTTCTGCTGTGAGTAAACTGGAAACACATGGAAAATATAATGCCAAGTGAAATTGCATTAACTGGCTCTCTGTATAACCTACAGTTTTTAATGGAGGGCATAATAGCATTTTGAGAAGGCTGGATTTGTGAGATAGTCTCAGAAAAAAATGCAACTGCATGGCTACATATACACTTTAATGGCACATATTGATGTTGTTCTTTTAATTAGCTGTTTCCTGTTGTTTAGCTCAGGCTGAAACATGATGATGTAACACTTAGGGAAAAAGATACAACCTAGCAACCCAGCAGTGGAAGCCAAGATAGAGAAGATCTCTACAGCTACCATGTTTTTTCCCTTGGTGCTCAGATAGGCTGGAACAAAGGATAACCAAACACTGCAAAACACCAACATGCTGAATGTGATAAACCTGGCTTCATTAAAACTGTCAGGTAAATTTCTGGCAAGGAAAGCCACCATGAAACTGACACAGGCCAAGAAGCCCATATAGCCCAAGACACAGTAAAACAAAGTAGGTGATCCCTCATTACATCCCAAGATGATTTCTTCGCTCATGGAATTGACATCAACATCTGGGAATGGGGGAGAGACTCCCAACCATATAGCACAAATGCCTGCTTGGATAAGTGAGCAGGAAAGAATAATGCAGTTACCTAAGGCCTTCCCCACCCATTTCCTACTCTTGGACCCTGGTTTGGTGGTCATAAAAGCCAGAACCACAGTGACAGTCTTTGCCAGCACGCAAGATACAGCTATTGAGAAGATGATGCCAAAAGCAATTTGTCGTGTGAGGCATGTCACCCTCTCAGGCTGCCCAATAAATAGCAAGGCACAAAGGAAGCAGAGCAGGATGGAGATGAGAAGACCATAAGTCAGATTGCGGTTGTTGGCTTTGACGATGGGAGTATTGTGGTACCTCATAAAGTTTCCCAATATCAAAATGGTGAGCCAAGAAAATGAAAGTGCCAAAACAGCTAAACTGATCCCCAGGGGATCTTCATATGACAAGAAGCTTATCTTCTTTGGAATGCATGAATCACGGTCCTTATTTGGATATTGATCTTCTGGGCATTTAAAGCAGTCATTCATGTCTGGAAATGAAAGCAGTTATTTTGAATGTCCTCAAACATCATTTCTCACATGAATTGTCTTATATGTAAAGAAAAAAGCTGATCTGAAAGTCAGGATAATGCCATGGAAATTAAAATTTGAATCTGGCATAAAGTTAACAACAACAACATTAACAATTTTATAGTATTTGTGGTGGAATGGTCCTATCTCTGATCTGCAGGCCCTGTTCCCTCCTGCCCTCCAAGGTTTTCCGAGCACCAAGAGGGGCCTTTCTATCTCTCTGTCCAACTGCCACCACCACCTAAACTTTGTAGGAATTGCCCACTGAGAGGGTCAGGGCTCCCAGCTTCCCTTCCACTTGCCAACTGATTGCCCTCCTCTTCCTCCTGTGCTCCTTTTAAAACAATGTGTCAAAGACGGTAGAGGTCTGTGTGGCCCAGAGAAACACTACCAGAATCAAAAGTTAATAACAAGTATTTATTTAAAAGAATATGTTCACAAGCATATTATCAGCACAGCACAAGACTGAGCAAGGGATTAAAAAGAAAAGGGTAAAATGCAATTCCCCTGTCCCTCCCTCTATACATGCTCTATCAAATGTTAAATATAAGGCAGGCTCCTTAGCTACAAAAGTTAGAGATTTTTACAGGAGCTGCATTACCTTCAAGCCTCCTTCTGGTGTGCAGGCTAGCACATGGCAATGGCCACCTCCTCCATACCTCAGTAAAGAGTTCTGTCTTCCTCAATGGAATCAACACCAAAAGAGCCCTTCCTCCTTGCTGCATGGAGTTTTATCATTTCTCTTTCTCCTCTTTCAGTGGCTTCCCCCCGGCATCTGATCGTGCCGGGGGCGGCTCAGGGGATCTATGTGATCCCGCCACTGCGTGTCTCTTTTGGTGCGGCTTTAAAAAGCCGCACTTTGCCTGTGCGTTTCCCCCCCATGTGGCAGGGGCCTAACTGACTCTAATCTGGGGAAAAGTGAACGTTTTTATGCAAATGTCGAAGAAGAATTTGATCATACACCTAAACAAGATGTGCTGATAACTGGGATGTAAGTGGGATGTAAAAGTGAAAAATAAAGGATAATAAAAAACTGTCAGAACAGTTGGGCTAGGAGCATGAAATGAAAGAGAGATTCATAGAATTCTGTGAAGAGAACAATTTGTCCATTGCAAGCACATTTCAGGTAACCAATCAGATGATAGTATACATGGACATCAACTGATAGCCCATAAAGAAATCAAATAGAAGATGGAGAAGTTCTATTCTCTCTGCTATAACATGACCAGGAGCTGATTGTGGAACCATGAATTGTTAATACTGAAAATTAGAATAAAGCTGGGGGAAAACCCCAAACTTTTGCATTGTCAAAATACAATACAAGCAATATTCCTGAAGAGTTTAAAGATCATGTAAAGAATAGACTTGCATTCCTAAATTCAAGTGAACATGAACTAAAAGAACTATGGGTTGAAACCACAGATACTATAAGGGAAGAATGTGCAAAAATATTAATGTAGCCCAAAGAAATGAAAAGCCTTGATGGATGTTGGCTTAGTTGGTTGGCTTAGACTGAGTCGATTGAAATTTTGATCTTCTGGGCATTTAAAGCAGTCATTCATGTCTGGAAATGAAAGCAGTTATTTTGAATGTCCTCAAACATCATTTCTCACATGAATTGTCTTATATGTAAAGAAAAAAGCTGATCTGAAAGTCAGGATAATGCCATGGAAATTAAAATTTGAATCTGGCATAAAGTTAACAACAACAACATTAACAATTTTATAGTATTTGTGGTGGAATGGTCCTATCTCTGATCTGCAGGCCCTGTTCCCTCCTGCCCTCCAAGGTTTTCCGAGCACCAAGAGGGGCCTTTCTATCTCTCTGTCCAACTGCCACCACCACCTAAACTTTGTAGGAATTGCCCACTGAGAGGGTCAGGGCTCCCAGCTTCCCTTCCACTTGCCAACTGATTGCCCTCCTCTTCCTCCTGTGCTCCTTTTAAAACAATGTGTCAAAGACGGTAGAGGTCTGTGTGGCCCAGAGAAACACTACCAGGATCAAAAGTTAATAACAAGTATTTATTTAAAAGAATATGTTCACAAGCATATTATCAGCACAGCACAAGACTGAGCAAGGGATTAAAAAGAAAAGGGTAAAATGCAATTCCCCTGTCCCTCCCTCTATACATGCTCTATCAAATGTTAAATATAAGGCAGGCTCCTTAGCTACAAAAGTTAGAGATTTTTACAGGAGCTGCATTACCTTCAAGCCTCCTTCTGGTGTGCAGGCTAGCACATGGCAATGGCCACCTCCTCCATACCTCAGTAAAGAGTTCTGTCTTCCTCAATGGAATCAACACCAAAAGAGCCCTTCCTCCTTGCTGCATGGAGTTTTATCATTTCTCTTTCTCCTCTTTCAGTGGCAGCTTTTCCTGAAGTCACTGAAACTCCATGTATAGTTTTGAGAGCCAGATTAGTGTAGTGGTTAGGAGCGTGGACTCTAATCTCCATGCCAATAAAGGCTACTTAACTTAACTAAGGCCCCGGTCACACGGAAGGTTTTGGCCCGGGAGAGGGACGGATTGGGGGCAAAGCAAACGGGTGGGATCTCACCGCAACATCTGGGAAGCGGCGCACACCCGTCCCCAATCCGGCCCTTCAGGCCGAAAACCCGCAGTAAAAAAACCCCACTCCCAGAGGAGGACTTACTGGGAACGCCGCATCAAGCGCGGCCGTGGGATCGCCAGCGTGCCCGTCATCTGGAATAATCCAGGCTCCTGGTAAAAATAAAGGATAATAAAAAAACTGTCAGAACAGTTGGGCTAGGAGCATGAAATGAAAGAGAGATTCATAGAATTCTGTGAAGAGAACAATTTGTCCATTGCAAGCACATTTCAGGTAACCAATCAGATGATAGTATACATGGACATCAACTGATAGCCCATAAAGAAATCAAATAGAAGATGGAGAAGTTCTATTCTCTCTGCTATAACATGACCAGGAGCTGATTGTGGAACCATGAATTGTTAATACTGAAAATTAGAATAAAGCTGGGGGAAAACCCCAAACTTTTGCATTGTCAAAATACAATACAAGCAATATTCCTGAAAAGTTTAAAGATCATGTAAAGAATAGACTTGCATTCCTAAATTCAAGTGAACATGAACTAAAAGAACTATGGGTTGAAACCACAGATACTATAAGGGAAGAATGTGCAAAAATATTAATGTAGCCCAAAGAAATGAAAAACCTTGATGGATGTTGGCTTAGTTGGTTGGCTTAGACTGAGTCGATTGAAATTGAATCTGATGAAGATGCAGGACCTATGCCTGAGTTGGAGAGGTCCAGTGGTAGGGATCCCACTCCCGATCTTTGATGGGGCACCATTGGTGCCAGCACTGGAGATTAGAAGTTTGGGAGTGCTCCTGGATGCCTCTTTAATGATGGAGGCCCAGGTAGCAGCTACTGTGAAGTCAGCCTTTTATCATCTCTGGCTGATCAAGCAGTTGGTTCCCTTCCTTGAACACAATGACCTGTCAATGGTGATCCATGCAATGGTCACGTCGAGATCGGATTACTGCAATGCTCTCTATATGGGGCTGTCCTTGTCCCAAATCCAGAGGCTGCAGCTGGTGCAGAATGCAGTGGCCAGGCTGTTGTTGGGTCTCCCTATGCAGGAGCACATCCAGCCTGCGCTAAAAGTACTGCACTGGCTACCTATAGCATACTGAATTTTGTTCAAGGTTCTGGTTCTTACCTTTAAAGCCCTATATGGTCAGGGGCCTACATATCTAAGGGACTGCCTTTTCCCATATGCTCCCCTGAGAGCACTACAATCGGGGTCCCAAAACTGTCTGGCCTTGCCAGGCCCCAGAGAAGCCAGGCTGGCTATGATGAGGGCCAGGGCTTTTTCAGTGGAAGCTCCGCACTGGTAGAATGAGCTCCTGGATGACATCAGGGTCCTGCGGGACCTCTTACAGTTCTGCAGGGCCTGCAAGATGGAGCTCTTCCAGCAGCCCTACGAGTAGGGAGTCACCCTAATAAATCAAGACTCTGGCCCCAAATTAACATCATTATTTACATGCCAATATTCAGGGGTCATTTCACAGAAAAAGAGGTGCATACGGTTAAAAAAATGGCACAAAGAGACATGAAAGTAGTGACTAGGTATAGAATAAAAGAGCAAGAGAATAAAAAATAAGTATTTTTCCTGGGATACTGAGAGAATTGAGTTTTAGAACAGTAGGGAACATTCACTGATTAGAAAATGGTTGATAAAGTAATGGTTGGTATTTAAACCTAAAGAATAGAAACAGAAATGTGGGCCTCAGTTTAGATTAGTGATTTGTATATCTAAGGGATAAGAATGAGTGCTGAAGGTATATTGCCAAGGAATTTCACCGAGTAGAAATGTAGATCCAGAAAACTTTCTATCAGGGGTCAATGGTTATGTTGGAAGCTATAAACTGCTAGAACTATGCATTTAAATATTGTTGAAAACATTGTTAAAATGAGAACAAATGTGTGATCTGTATCTCTCTATGTTGCAGAAAACTATTGTTCAATGTCCTTTTTTCCTGTTTGTTTTTTTGTCTGTTATGAAAAACCTAATAAAGTGTGTGTGTGTGTGTGTGTGTGTGTGTGTGTATTCACTTTATATATATATATAAAGAAAACAGGACAGAAAAAAATGGGGCAAGCTTGAGGTTTTTATTTGGTGGGGATGAAGCAGAAATAATGGTGGATGAGGCAGAAATAATGTTGCCCCTGAATGTGAACCGCCCTGAGCCCATTCGCTGGGGAGGGCAGGATAGAAATGTAATAATAAATAAAATAAAATAAATGGTCCAGTTTGTGTATCTAAAATAAAAGGATCCATCTGTCGATCAGTCTGCCAGCCCATCCACCAATTTGTGGCAAGGTGAACTCTTCATAAAATAAAGTCAGACACCTCAAAATTGGCCATCACTGAGCCCCCACCTCCTTGCTTCTTATATTGGAAGCTATGGTTGCCTCTGGCTGGCAGAACAACTCTGAAACTAAAGCTAGGGGCCTCAAAATTGGCCACTGGCTTCAGAATGATGGAGTTGCCCTGCCTCAAACAAAGCGAATCAGAGCAACTCAACCCAAGATATTTCCAACCCCAGCCTCTTCAGGATGATGATTCAAGTCGCAGTGCCTAAATGACAGGTATCCGAACATTCTTGCCCAGGTTATTGCAGGAAACCACCCCCTCCATGCTATTCCAAACAGAAGTTTGGAATACTCAGTGGCAGGTATAGCTCATGCAAAAATAGAGGAGTCTCAAAACTGGCTTCCAGCTTCAGGATGATGGCGGGGCTTGCAGTCCCAAAAAAGAAGGGTATCAGACCATCCTGACACATCTTAGTTCCCACTGCTGTTTGTATTGGAAGTAAAGGCTTACTCACAAAAATCCAGGAAGGGCAGGGGGTGGGAAATATCCCCCCTTTGAGAAAATAAAAAGGTTTATCAATTCCTGTGACCTAACAGAGCTTGTATGGTCAGTGATTAGAAATGTTGCACTAGGTCATGTTTCTTTTATTCTCTTACATTGTCATCATGAGCCTTTTCATTGACCTATTTTATGCCATTTTATCCGATAACTATACAGAACAGGCACTCATTTTTATTTCATCACTATTGTTTTTTGTTAGTATGGTCAGAGGGAAACAGTGGAGTTTTATTTTTAATGGGGAGACAACATGTAGGGTTGCCAAATGGGCCCGGGGGGGCGGGGAATTCCCCGCTTTGGAGGCCCGATTTCCGCGGCGGCGGAATCGAGCCCCAGGGGGAACTCCACCCCCGAAGCTGCATCACCAGAGGTGATGCAGCCACATCACGCACCTCGCATTGGGGGCGTGGCCCAGATCATGGGGGGGGAAATCACATGGCTTTCCCCCCGACGATCTGGGCCACGCTCCCAACGTGAGCACGTAGCACGTCACTTCTTGTGATGTGCTGCCGGCACGCGCGCCCTTTGTGCGCGCGTGCACGTGCCCATCGCAAACTCCCGGAGGGTAGTGAGGCTCCCCCGCTCCGAGGGGTGAGTACACTTGGCAACCCTAACAACATGTCATAAACTGGAACTTTTGAATAACAACAGTGGCAGCAGTAATTTTGGTCTATGCAGACCTATCAGGTTTGAACAAAACCAGCACCACCCTAAGCAGAGTTACAGCTGCCTAAGTCCAGTAGCATGATCTCTTACCTTTCTGGCTTGCAATCTTTCCTCTTGTACAGGGAATACAATCGTAACAACAAAATGGCTTCCCTTCCTGCCTTCTCTTCCTATAACCCGGTTGGCAGCTCTCAGTACACAGAGAAACAGGCAATTTCTGGTTATCACATAGGAAAATAAAATATTATTACCATTTAGGAAAACATGTGCTGCAGTAATTTGACCCACCACTGTGCGATCAGACACAGCAGTGGCTGAATTTGGTTTCTTCCTACCACCGTGTGTGTCCGGCATGCTGCAATGAGGGATCACTGACGCAATGGGAGTGCAGCGAAGCAATCACGTGAGGAAGTCTGTCTGTGGCCCATCGCAAACCCATTTAATACTGCACTTTCCCCAGTATTTTTAACTCCCCATCTTTGACCGTGTGAAACGGGTTGGTGACAGACACTTGCCAGATGTTCCCGTGTGATCGTGCCCGGCATTTGTGCATATTTAGCGGCTACTTCTGTGTGTGATCGGACCCATATGTGGGTATTTTTATGTCTTTAAAGACCTAGATTTCAGATGGATAGCTATGTTAGTTTGTTACAGAGAGAGAGGGAGAGGGAGGGAGGGAGGGAGGGAGGGAGATCCTTTTGGTATCATAATAAGAACTTTTTTAAAAAAATAGATTAATGTTTCCTACAGTAGAATTCACTTCTGAAGACATACCTGCGGACTGTTGGCAATGTTGGTATCAAATAAAGATATTTGTATAAGCTAAAACTATGACTATAGTGTGGAAAAAATCACACACTTTGTATTCACTCACTGTTTGAAGACAAATCCCAGTGTAGTTTAGTGTAAAAAAAAATCACCCCTGTCATCACAGTTGTATTTTGGTGAGAGAAATCAGTGTGTTTGACAACTCCCAGGGCCTATTCCAAACACCCAAAGGAGAGATATGTGCATTCAGAAAAGTTCATAGTTTTTGGGTTCATATTGCCCCCCTCCGTTTTGTTTCTTCACTAACTAACATCCGTCCTGTAGAATTTTATCAAGTCATCTTTCTGTGAAAAGAGGAAATAGCTGGATATCTCCAGAACACCACATGCATTTATACTAGGATATTTCTTCCCCCCCACCCCAATTATCTGACTTTCTGATCATCAGAGACAACATTTAAGTCATGAAAAGCCTTCCAGAATTAGATCAGGAGGCTTATTCTCAGTTGTCTGCTTCCAATTTGTTAATCTAATTGCAGAAAATTAGTTTCCCAGCCAACCTGGTCCAAATAGGGATAAGCAGACCTGCCCTTAGCCAATCACACTACCCTATATAGAAACTTCCCTCAATCTTCTTGTGGTGTACGTCTGGCAACTGAAGTCATGGAGTTGCATGAGAGGATCCTGCCTGGACCTTGCTTGGAGTAGGCAGACCCTGGCCTGGTCCTTGGACTCCAGTCTGCACCCTTCCCTGAAGTACAGTCTGGACTATTTTTTGATAATTACTAATGGCTAGCTAGCTTTTCTCTTTTCCTCTGGGGATAAGGGTAACTGGTGGCGGTCTGTTGAGAAGGCTCTAAATGGGACCCCTCTTGTCCAATTCTCTTGAAAAGAGGTCCTTAGTAGAGAGGAAGTCCTTGTTTTGCTAAAACTTTGGTGTCATTTGGTGAAACGACAGCTGTTCCAGAAATCTGCCATTTCCTCCCCATTTTCTTCTATAGTAAAAGAAATGGCCAGACACCCAATCCAACATGATTTTCTGATATCGTAAACACACACCTGACATGTAATAAAAAAATGATCTTGTCCTTTCTGAAATTATGATACAGAATTAAAACATGTTTTTAACACCCCTAATTTGTACATCCAAAGATACACACAGAAACATCTGAAACATGAGGATGCCATTGCTTAAAGATAATCCACCGTGCATGCCAAGAATAATTCATTCAGAATGGAAGCACTACCAGGTTATCTTCCCTCAGATACTACCTACCTCTTTAAAACTGCTATGCCACGTGATGGATTGGTCATGAATGGTGAGCATGTTGTTTTGGGAAGCGTGGGGATCCAGTCTTCCTACTTTCACTCTGTGGAATGATTGGTTGGAGAAAGTGAGCAAGTTCATGATTTCAAATCCCCCTATCAGTTCCCTGTTCTGATCAAAGGAAATCTTGTCTCCAGCACTGTTGTTAAAAGAGATATCACGTAGAAAGTGGTGCAGCTGAATTGTATAAAGAAAAGAAAATATAAACATTTAAAAGATGCAAACTGATAATATATAATAGTCAAGTGATGTTTACATGCATTGGCAACTGCTTCCAAATGTGTCAGACAGAGGCTTTTCCCAGTCCTTCTGTTTGAACTGGTGCAACTGATGATAGCAGCTGGTGAACATGGGACACTCAGCAAGGCACCCGGCTAATAATCTAAAGCATATGCCATGGCCCTGGATGCTAGATATTGTATATGCAATCATAGACCCATGAACAGTGTAGTGTATGCTCCCTTAAGTGAAGGGGGAAGAGGGTGAAGAATATCTTGAAAACCAAACAAAGGTTAGTGGAAAGGAGGGCCAATATAAAAACTATTTATAAAAAGAGGTACATGTATTTATTGATAATATCAAATTAAAACATATATAGGGGCCCAATTACAACCAATATACATAAACCATAATCATAACCAGGGCTAAAAAAATGACCTGACGCGTTTCGGCCGAATCGGCCTTCCTCAGAGGTCATACAAATGTGGCTAGATGGTAAATAGTTACATTCATAAAAACACAATCAAAAATATATACAAAATACAAATTCAATCAGGACCATAAAGAAAATTGTTCAGAAGAAAAATAACCAGGCACAGGGTAAATATGCACATACAACCTTTTTAGTGCAATCACTAGCCCAGTAGTTATAAAATCAACCTATGGTCCACAAATAACCTTCTTCGATTATGTTGCCACAATGTTCACAAGTAAAAAGCAACACGCTGCTGAACAATGGTTTCTCCCCTTCCTGTTTTAAAGCCTGCATGTGGCCAAAGACACAGGCTCTTGGCATAAGCTGAAATTTAAGAACCAAAGGCATCTTGGCCCTTGGTATGTTGGCTCAGATCCATAGCCAGGGTCTTTGGAAAAGCCTGCTGTAGAATTTCTGGAGCAGCCCAGCATATAATTTGCTAGGGGAATGGGGGTGCTGATGGATCTGTACTTTTGTCTCTCTTATTCTTGTAAGCTGCTTTGTGTCTCTTTGGGGAGAAAAATGGAATGTTAATTTAATTAACAGAACAACATAGGAGTCCAGTGGCACCTTTAAGACCAACAAAACTTTATCAAAAGTGTAAGCTTCCATGTGCAAAGAACACTTCTCCAAACAAATGGAGTGAAATCTCCTCAAGGGTTACTTACTGGAGAAAAGAGGGTGGGGGGCAGCCATTAGTGGGGCGACTCAGAGCCAAGATGCATTTGCAGAACTGAAACTGGATCAGGTGGAAATTGATCCAATTTCAGCTCTGCATAGGCATCTTGGCTCTGAGTGGCCCCTTCTAACAGCTGCCCCCCACCCTCTTTTCTCCAGTAAGTAACCCTTGAGGAGATTTCACTCCATTTGTCTGAAGAAGTGTTCTTTGCACATGGAAGCTTACACTTTTGTAAGCTCCTGCACCTCTTTTTCTACGAAATGACCCCTGAACTGGGGATTATTATTGCACCACCACGTATCACTGTTACCTGCCATGAGTGTGGATCCTGAAGATTCAGTATCCTTCTGTCAACACTTGCTCTGTGTTTGTGCCGATATGACTGCATGGCATGTAAAGCATGTGCTATGGCATAGACAGCATTATAGATGTTGTAGCTCTGGCCCATCATGTTCATTTCAAACAATAACTTTGAAAGGCTCTCCAGCTTCTCTGCTCCAGTACAAGTTTTCTCACTTTCCTTGCTAACAAATGGATTTGGGAATACACAGCTGAATGCCTGTTCCCAGAAGTTTCTGATGAAGCCATCTTCTTTTGTCCAGAAATGGTTTCTGGTCCGAAGAAAATCCTGGAATCCTAGAACTTCATTTGAATGAACTGTGAAGGACAGAGCACCATGGATATCTTGTATATCCCAACTCCTTTGATAAATCAATGACATCAACACCATTTGAGCGGTCATAATCCACACTTTACCTTTAGGCTCCATGGTCACCATTCCCATTTCTGGTAAATATAATAAGCATCTCAAATGTATCATATGTTCCTCATAAACAATGACTACATTAGCATTGCTTTCTGTGAACATATTATATGTTGACACCAACGAATTCATGAATTCAAGAAAGTTTCCCATATAAAGTGTCATTAGTCTTCCTAAGAAGGCAAAACAGATGCCTCTGAGGGGGAAAACTGAAATTATTGTCTGCACAAATCTTTCTCCGACGTCACCACCTGCTGCAAGGACTCCAACCCATGTCCACCTGAAATGCAGTAGTAGCTGGAGAATCCCAGTATATTCATAGGCTTCATTAGGGACCATTTTGTAGAAGGAAATGGTCTCTGCTTCATCATTCATCCTTGGCACAGACCCGTAAGTGAACTATAGAAAGATAAAGTGGATGGGTAGGTGGAGAAGAAGAGAACGAGGAACAAGAAGCAGCCAGGTAAGTTGCAGAGCCCCCCCCCAGCCCACCTTCAGGTACAAGCTCTCCCTCCTCTGTGAGGACAGATCTGCGCCCCCCCCCCCAGCTAGCAATCCAAAACAGTCCAGTGGCACCTTTAAGACCAAGTGGAACCTGAGCGGTGGATGTTGCCTTCTGACACACTTCCAGTGATGTCAGGGGGCGTGGCATATTCAATAAGTTATACTAATAAGTTATGCTAATGAGCTCCTGCACCTCTTTTTCTACGAAATGACCCCTGAACTGGGGATTATTATTGCACCACCACGTATCACTGTTACCTGCCATGAGTGTGGATCCTGAAGATTCAGTATCCTTCTGTCAACACTTGCTCTGTGTTTGTGCCGATATGACTGCATGGCATGTAAAGCATGTGCTATGGCATAGACAGCATTATAGATGTTGTAGCTCTGGCCCATCATGTTCATTTCAAACAATAACTTTGAAAGGCTCTCCAGCTTCTCTGCTCCAGTACAAGTTTTCTCACTTTCCTTGCTAACAAATGGATTTGGGAATACACAACTGAATGCCTGTTCCCAGAAGTTTCTGATGAAACCATCTTCTTTTGTCCAGAAATGGTTTCTGGTCCGAAGAAAATCCTGGAATCCTAGAACTTCATTTGAATGAACTGTGAAGGACAGAGCACCATGGATATCTTGTATATCCCAACTCCTTTGATAAATCAATGACATCAACACCATTTGAGTGGTCATAATCCACACTTTACCTTTAGGCTCCATGGTCACCATTCCCATTTCCGGTAAATATAATAACCATCTCAAATGTATCATATGTTCCTCATAAACAATGACTACATTAGCATTACTTTCCGTGAAAACCTTATATGTTGACACCAACAAATCGATGAAGTCAAGTAGGTTACCAGTATAAATTGTCATTAGTCTTCCTACGAAGGCAAAGCAGATGCCTTTGAGGGGGAAAACTGTAAGGATTGTCTGCACAAATCGTTCTCCCACATCATTACCTGCTGCAAGGACTCCAACCCACATCCACCTGAAATGTAGTAGTAGCTGGAGAATCCCAATATATTCATAGGCTTCATTAGGGACCATTTTGTAGAAGGAAATGGTCTCTGCTTTATTATTTATCCTTGGTGTGGAGCCGTAAGTGAACTATAGAAAGATAAAGGGATAAGTAGGTGGAGAAGAAGAGAGATATTCCCACACAAACACAATCACAAACGTGGTAGGTATGTGCAACACTTTCAAGCAAACTGCTTGCAATTTTTAATCTATTTGAAGTATAGCCTCTTAGGGATGCCCTAAAATCCCCCACCCCAAATGCTCTGTGACTACAAATCAAGCTATGTTACTCATGTTTGACTTTTCATTCGGAGTCCAATCATATGACAACCATATTTATTCATAGAATTTCTGGCCAGGTGCAGATTAGGAAGTTAAAGCAGCCCTGAAAAAAAAATGAAGTATCAGAGTAATCTCCTATATATATGCTAATTAAGACAAAGAGGAAAGCATAGGGGCTTTTGTTGTTCAGTCGCACAGTCAAGTCCAACTCTTCGCGACCCCATGGACCAGATCATGCCAGGCCTTCCTGTCTTCCACCGTCCTCTGAAGTTTGCTCAATTTCATGTTCGTTGCATCTATGACACTGTCCAACCATCTCATCCTTTACCGTCCCCGTCTTCTTTGACCTTCAATCTTTCCAAGCATCAGGGTCTTCTCCAGTGAGTGCTTCCCTCTCATTTGGTGGCCAAAGGATTTGAGCTTCAGTTTCATTATCTGGCCTTCCAGGGAACAGTTAGGGTTGATTTCTTTTAGGATTGACTGATTTGATCTTCTTGCAGTCCAAGGGACTCTCAAGAGTCTTCTCCAGCACCATAGTTCAAAAGAATCTATTCTTCGGCGCTCGGCCTTCCTTATAGTACAACTCTTGCAGCCATACATGACTACTGGAAATACCATTGCTTTGACAATGCAGACTTTTGTTGGCAGGGTGATGTCTCTACTTTTTATCATGCTGTTTAGGTTCGCCATCGCTTTCCTCCCAAGGAGCAGGCGTCTTTTAATTTCATGGCTGCTGTCGCAGTCTGCGGTGATCTGGGATCCCAGGAACGTGAAGTCTGTCACCACTTCCACGACTTCCCCTTCTATTTGCCAAGGAGTGATGGGGCCGGATGCCATGATCTTAGTTTTTTTTACGTTGAGCTTCAAGCCCACTTTTGCGCTCTCCTCTTTTACTCTGAGCAGGAGGCTCTTTAGGTCCTCTTCACTTTCTGCCATTAGAGTGGTTTCGTCTGCATATCTGAGGTTGTTGATCTTTTCCCCAGCAATCTTAATTCCCGCTCGTGATTCATCCAGGCCAGCATTTCGCATGATGTACTCTGCATATATATTAAATAAGCAAGGTGACAATATACATCCTTGTCGTACTCCTTTTCCTATGCTAAACCAATCAGTTGTTCCATATCCGGTTCTAACTGTCGCTTCTTGGCCCTTATACAGGTTTCTCAAGAGACATGTGAGGTGGTCTGGTACTCCCATCTCTTTAAGGACCTGCCATAGTTTGTTGTGATCCACACAGTCAAAAGCTTTAGCATAGTCAATGAAGCAGAAGTAGATGTTTTTCTGGTTCTCTCTTGCTTTCTCCATAATCCAGCGAATGTTGGCAATTTGATCTCTAGTTCCTCTACCTCTTCGAAACCCAGCTTGTACTTTTGGCAGTTCTCTATCCACGTACTGATAGGGGCTTTAAGGGCACAAAAATGTAAGGCACTGTGCCTGATCCTGAAGAGATTTTTGTCCTCTATTTCTCACAAGTGTATAATTTTTTTAAAAAAAACTGTTCAGTTTTTCACTATATCAGTTATTCTTGGTTTCCTTTGAATAACCAGATGTCCTTCATTCTTAAGCAGTGAAGTGCCCATCAGAACAAGGAGGGCATGTGCCAGGTGAGCCAGCAAAAGAAAGGATGGGGAGGCGATATGTACTTGCCTCACAGTCACAGCAACATTTTTGCACAAGAACATACAAGACCAAACCCTAATTCTTCTGGGCCCAGTGAAATCTTGTAACACAGAACTTCATCCTCTCATGTACAATTCACCGTACATATACGATCTCATGAATGATTACCTGGAAACCTCTTTTATATTTTCTAAAAGAAATAAGTGCACCATAATATGAGAAGGGGCTAATGCCCCCTGGTTCCCTGTAAAATGTAATCATTCCCCCATGCTTTGGTCCTGAGATCATTTGCCTGTTCATCCAATGGTGGATCTTGAAATGAAGTCTAAGGTTTCATGATGTCTATATAGTCTAGTTTGAAACAGAATACATGAATTCCAAGTGTAATTATTACTAGTACTCTTTCCTCCCCTTCTAGTAGTCAAGTAAGCACATTGTCTGGCATTTACTCAGCAGCCCTATAAGGTGGGGTGTAAGTAGCAGGAAGGGGATGTGCCATTCTCCCTTGTGCCAGTGCTACCAACTCCTAGAGTCCCTAGTGGACTGAAGAGCCATTCAGGAGGAAGCATCAACTTGTGGCCTTCTTCCATTGTGTTGCCTTGGAGACTGGGTCAAAGCCAAGCACAATAGCCCGGGCTGCACTGCAGGAATCAACAAAACAACCCATCCGTTTCTCTCATGCTGCTGCTGCTCCTCCACAACTTCAGCAACCCACCAGATACATTGGTAATGAGTTAAATAGAAAATTAAACCTTCATTATGACTCTTAGGCATGGGTGAAATCAGGTGTAGTGAAAATGTTACAAAAATCTAATCAGCATTACAGGGGTAATTTCATAGAAAAAGAGGTGCAGGAGCTCATTAGCATAACTCATTAGTATGACTTATTTGCATATGCCACACCCCATGACATCACCAGAAGTGTGTCAGAAGGCAACACCCACCGCTTAGGCTCCACCCCAAAAATCTCCAGGTATTTCCCAACTCAGAGCTGGCAAGCCTACCTGACGGCACACGTGGGGGAAAACAAACCACCCATGTCAGGTAAAGAGGGGGGATACCAGGATAGCAGGTCAATATATTTTTATTCTATTTGGCATTGATAGCTGTAGTGCTTTTAGTGTTCCTTTTCTGTTTGACTGGCAGCCTTCCTCTCTGTTATCGTTGACTGTGGGTTTTACATCACTGCCATTTGGTGTTGTTTTTGTCAGCCACAACAAGGTCACTTTCAGAGAGGAAAAGCAGGTTATCCATTTTTAAATAAATAATGTTGAAAAGTCTGGATCCAGAACAACAACGAAATCACATCCGCTAATTTTTGCCTAAACAAAACCCAATGATTTAGAGTTGTGGTCTTCAACCTAGGGGTTGGGTGGCAGACATTGCCACTCCCCCGCCCCGCCATTTGGAAGTCCCCACACATGTATAGACACAGCAAGGGTGCCATGGCTCTTACTTCTCTTTGGATGTTCAGAGCAGGGTGGCAGGGGGAGGTCACTCAGCAGCGAAGAGGAATCCTTCTGGGTGCCAACTCTCTTTCTTCTGGGACTGAGACCCAGGCCTGTATGCATCGGAGGCCACAAGTGCCCTCCCCAAACAACCATGCTCGCCTCCACCTTCTCCACTTCCCGCCCCCCCAACACAGTTCAGCAAGTGAGGGAGGAGAGGGAAGGGTTGGGTCAGGGATGGGCACATGCGAGAGAGGCTTGCTCAACCAGCCAGGCGGACCAGCTGCTTGCTGCTTCTGAAGTCCAGCTGGCTTCAGTCAGGTGACTGCCCATTCCTCTTCAATCGGGAAAGGAGGCTAAGAAGGGGATAGCTGGCTGGTATAGGATGCAACAAGGCAAGACAACTATCCAGGCAGCTGCTGTTTGGAGAGGTGTGATAGATGTTTGACAGTGCGCTGACCCCATCCTTCTAATCTGCACAATACCATCTCACCTTAATTCTTTTCTGGAGACTCTTAATCCAGTCATTTTGGTTTTTTTTAATTAGTTCCAGGTCAGAGAGTATAATTTGGGTTTGGACTCTGTCATTTGCTTTTGGACATCACCACTTCTCTCTCTCTCTCTCACACACACACACACACACACACACACACACACACACATCTCTTTCCTCGGGGCTCCTTGAATTCTATTGAGATCCCCATTGCTCAGTTACGGCTGACCTGTGTTCCCTTTTTCTTCTGCAGTGCATTTCTGATGAATTTTTAAAAGCCCATTCATGTGCATTCCATTCTGGACGGGCTAAATATGACTTTCAATGACCATTCAGTCTTTTGTCATTGGATTGAAAGTGTCCAAGCGGGGGGGGGGGAGACATGTTAAAAACATATGACTGCACACTTGCAGCCATCAGGCATACCCTATTGTGACAAAGAAATGAAAGCAGTTGAAGCTCCTATCACTATGATCAGACAGACAGAAAACAGTGCAAACTTCTCTTCCCTCAAAATTGGGGGGAGGGAGAGGGGTGGGTAGAGGCAGATGGCAGAAATCACAGGCTTCCGGAATCACTCTTTGTTGCCAACTGATTGCATATCTCCAGACGTGAAAATGCAGCCACAATCCTAACCAGAGCTCCTAGATCTGGGGCCAAGACCCAACGAAGTGCTAACTGCAGCCTCACTCAGGAAATGCCTATTTTTCCCAACCATGGAAGGTGGCACTTTGTGAGTGGAGACCCACAGTGTTTTCCCTCGGAGTGCCTGATCATTTAAATTTGCGTAACAGTGGTGAAGTAACAGCTCTTGGGGCTGCAGCAGAGGGCTTTACACTTTCAAAAGCAAAGGCGGAAGGTGAGAGGGAGGGGGAGATCAAGGACTGCACTTACTCAGCCTCCGAGTTTTGCTTGCAGCCAGCCATGGCGGTGGGAACTGCCAGACACAGAGCAAGACCTGGAAGTTGTGGGGAGCAAGGGGGGAGGCAAGACGTGCTTGGGATTGAGTAGCTGTGATGTGCAGCAATCGCGCCACGGTGGGCCCACTTGCCAGATCCCATGGGGAAGCCTGCCTCATATGTGCACAGATGCCCACGCAGCACAGGGAAAGGCGCTGAGAGGAGAGCGGAGTGTGGGGCTGCCACTTAGAACCCACACTGCCTGCTTGGGTGAAAGGAGAAGAGCGAGGCACACGTGCGCACGTGCACACACAGAGAGAGCAGAGGGAGAGCCGCATGCGCCAGCCACAAGAGATCATGTGCTTTTCGCTAGCTCTCTCTCTCTCAGGCAGACACATCACAGAGAAAGCCAAGGATGGGCAGGCAGGCCTTTCCTGGGGCGCTGTGCTGCTGCACAGCCTGGGAAAGCTGAGGAGCAGGCGGACAGGCAACTTACCTTCCTTCTTCTGCCTCCTCATGGCTCGACTGAGGGCTGCTGGGAGCAGAGGGTGTGGCTTGGTCATGTACCCACCACCTCAGCTCCTCCCTACCGGAGTGCCGCTTCTCGGCGCTCCGGGTCCAACCGAGCCCTGAATTACAAACTGTTTTGTTTCGTGCCTGGTCAATGCTGGACATGTATGTGGAGGACATATTTGCCTTCCTCCATTAGGAATGAAATGTCAGTCTTTATGAGAGGCAGCATTGGTTCAGGTGTTTGGCTAGGATCTGAGAGATGCAGGTACAGATCCCTGCTCTGCCATGGAAGCTTGCAGGGTGACCTTGCTCCAATCAAGCACTTTCAGTCTCATGCATCTCACAGAGTTGTTGTAAGGATAAGATGGAGGAGAGGCAAATACTTTAAGCTGTTTTGGGTCCCCATGGAGGAGAAAGGAGGGTATAAACGAAGTTAATAAAGAAGTAAATGGGAGGGAGCAATGGCTGGGAGCCTCATGCACCCAAGCCAATCATGTGCAGTGCCAGGCTGTGTTTATAAATACCATAATGAGTATGTACACAGCTTTGAAGACCAGCGCTACAATGCATATAAGAAAACAAGAAAACAAACTAAATTATCAAGTAAATATAATATGGCAGGTAAGTATCAATTATTCAGGTAAGTATGTAACAAACAAGTATGAAGTCAAGCATGGATACAGAAAGAATTCTACAAGAGCTTATATTGCATGAATCAAGTTAACAAGTTGACGACATTCCCCAGAGTAAGCTTCCATTTTCTTGATAACTTTTTCCGAACAACACCAAAAAGACAGAATTGTATCTTCCATTATATCAAGAAAACCTGCATGGCATACATAATAATTTCAATCTACCTGCTAATACAGTGTGGAAAGACAATGTACCATAAAAGCTTCAATAAAAGTTAATACATACAGTATGGTTTCACAAGTCACAGAGCTTCTCCCACCATCCACAAAAACAACATTTAGACAAGGAAAGCAAATTTATGGAAGTGGATTTTTTTCTTGTAGAGTGTGTAGGTCAACTGCACAGGGAAAGCATAGGGACAGCCCCTTCCCTCCTCTTTCTGCATTCAGACCAGAGAAGTCAGTTTCATGAGACTTCTTTAACATGAGAGAATCCAAATGAGTTTGAAAAAAAGGCATGAGATTAAAAAAACAAAACCCAAACACCTACCAGTGAAATCATTTCTCCTCTGTTGTGCTCTGTTGAGGAAAATTATTAAAAATGCAAGCCCCACCTCAGTCTCAGACTACCCATACCACAAAGTCATATTTGGAAAGACAAAGAAAATATGGCTTATTGATCATCTGTTCTACTACCTGTGGAACTTTGTAGATGCCCAAAATTTCTGCTATGTAGAGGGAGGTTTCAGTGTAAAGAGCTCCAATGACTGAAATCAGGTTATTCTGGATACCACACTTGTAGTTGGGGATGAATCTGTTGTATGTTGAAAGAAGACCTAGTGTGGCACGATAGGTCCGCCATGCATCAAAATAACTGTCATAGATGTTGAAGCCCAAAGTGATGTTGGGTAAGATCTGGTGATTTTTATTGATCTCCTTCACCGCGAATACCAAAGCCAAAATATGCTGGTAGTTTTTCGTCAGTACACTAGAATGAGAGTTGTATACAGCATCATAGGGGAAATTTTCGCTTCATAAAATCATTTCCTCATCTCTTGGGTAACACCAAGGGCATTTGTTTTAGAAGAAAATGCTTCATACACAGAGGATTTTCTTATTTATATCTATGTTTAGTATAAAGCTTAGAGTGTGTATTATGTCTGCTTGCTGACTATCAGTAAGGCTATGTATGATTATTATGTCTGTAAGGATTCTTTTGAGAAACCCTAATAGGTTTTTAGAAAGTTTTATTTATCAGTTTTGTCCAGTATTACATATAGAAGATCATATACATTCGAGTCTACATTTTTCAAGAGTTATTTATCCATTTGTACACTCTTGCCCATCTAGTCGTATGAATGGCTTCGTCTTTCCCTTGTAACATCAAATTTAGTTTATCCATTTATATCAGTTCAAGCAGTTTAGTCCTTATTTCCTCCCTTGTCGGGTTTTTTTCTAGTTTCCAAAACTTACCCAGCAATATCCTAGCAGTTGTCAAAACATAAATCAACAATCCAGAATTATATCTAACAAAGCCATTTTGGGTGTTAAAAATATTTTGTTCCATAACTTCTGATATTATTTTTGTACCTTTAACCAATAGCTATGAGCCTTGCTACAATGCCACCACATGTGGAAAAAAGTTCCCACATTTCCTTTGCATTTCCAACAATTATTAGAAGCAGATTTATGGCACTTAGCTAATCTATTGGGCGTCCAGTACCATCTATGAAACATTTTGAAGATATTCTCTTTGTAACTTATGGATCTCATATATCTGACTGTTTTCCACATTTTCAGCCATTTGTCTAAATCTATAGAATGTCCAATGTCTCTCATCCAGGAGATCATTGTTGTTTTAATTATTTCATCCTGCATGTATTCTTCCAAAAGAAATCTTTAAAGCTTCTGTATCATCTTATCACTTGTCGACAGCCAGATCATGTCTAGTTGGGTTTTAGAGGGATAGAAGCCCACAGCTGCATCTTTGGCATATCTAGATTGAAGTTGCAAGGTGAAACCCTAATAGGTTTTGAAGTGTCCAGTCCACATGCAAATGAAAGTCAATTTAGTTTCAAAGCTACCTGCACTGTTCTTGCTATTTTTCTTTCCCAACATAAAACTCTCCACAAAATGATTGATTCTGTATTCAGCCTCCCAATGATCACCAACAACAATCCAAAATAAGATACATTAGTTTGAGCCAAATCCATCATTTATGTAGGAAACACTTTGACTTTTACACTTTCTTGTCTTCAGTCAGAAGAATTTGCAAGTAAGACTGAATTCTTTGGAAAATGGAAAACGGTTTGTGTGTAATGAAGATTGCATAAAATTGCATACCATCTCTCAAGATATGTGAAGTGCCTGTATCACTGGGTGTGTTATTCAAATGCATTTTAAATTTTAAAGGCAACTGAAATACCTAAAAAAAAAAACCAAACCGCATACCGTCTCTGAAGGTATGTGAACTCCCTGTATCACTGGGTGTATTATTTAAATTCAATTTGAACTTAAAAGGCAACTGAAATTCCTTTAAAAAAAAACAAACCTCTAGTTAGATTTGCTTTCTGCATTATCCAAACATTAATTTTAAAAAGTTGAAAAGAACTTCAAAAGAGGTTTTTCTGAGGCAAAAAAAAAGTTTCAATTTTATGTAATCCATGTAATTGTTTTTTTAGAAGCCGCAACTGACTGCTCATGAATTAGTTGGGGGAATGAGGGAAAATATGTCCAGGAGAAAACCAGATATGATACTACAAACAAAAATGAAGGTCATTAGAAATAATGTTTGTAGTTGTTGTTGTTGTTTTTTTTTTTTTTTAAAAAAAAAGAAAAAAAATTCCGCCCCCCCCCCCCCCAGCAAAGCATGGCAACAGACAGGAAGACAGTGATATGATCTGATATAGTGGTTCAGAAGTATACTGGAAACTTTAATGATCACCTGATTAATTGATTCAATTCATGTTTAAGGACATAAACTGCTTAGGTTGGCTTGTGACTGTCAGTGCGATATATTAGCTATATCAAATACTGCTTCAAACTAGGACCTAGATTCAAATCATTGTCCAGCCAGGACACTCACTGGGTAACCTTGGGCCAGTGACTCTCTCTCTTAACTTTACTGACTTCACAAGATTGATCTAAGAGGAGGGAAAAGCAAAACAAGACAACCAATAATGATGACAAACCAGAGAAATGGCATATCTGTCAACCATTTTTTCAAGGGATAGAATGACTCACCAAAGCTCTCAGTAAATACACATTACAGTTCAACAACGCTTCATTCATGGTTGTAGATATGTTATTTCTCTAGTTTGTCATCGTTATTGGCTGTATTGCTTTGTACTTTTCTTTTTTCTGTTTTGTTATTCAGTTCCATATAAGCAGTCCTGACAAAGATCAAGGAACCTCACTGATACTCTGGAAGAGTGCACTGGCTGCCTGGAGTGTTTATGGAATCCTGTAATAAGGACTTTTCACAGTGAAAAATTACATGTATTAAATGCTCATCATATATTGTGTGCTGCTATTCCAAACAATTGTATTTTTGGTAAGAGTATTTCAAAATTTTATCCAAAAGTTCTAATATATATTTTGAAGAAAACTTGCACTGTGTTTATTTTGCTACATTATTGCATTTCACCTTGATACAAGTTAGCAAGAAAAATTATGCCTTACATGTTCTCACCAATCTCTGATTGACGAGGGTGTTGTCTGAAGTTATCCTCAACAAAAGGCAGTAAGAACTGGGAAGTAATGCCACCTATGATGAGATCACCTGACTGAAAATACCTATGAAGGACATGGAGAGGATCACCAACGGTACATTTCTCTGTATCTGTCTTGCCTGCTACTTGGTGCAGCAGCAAATGCACCAGTGCCACATTCCTAAACACACATTTTACCACAAGATACAGGCTACCTGGTTTCCACATTATACATACAGTCTTTGGAATTACACCAGACCGATATGGATGGCCATTCATTCTATGAAGATGCTATTCTGGAGCCTGCCTTATAAATCCTAGTGAATACATCACCAGACTGGTAGAAAATTGATCGTCTGTCCTTCTTAGCTTCAGATCAGAATGGCACACTGGACATTACTGAAGTTACTCTTAACATTAGTTCCATTGTCATTTACAAATGTTTACTGGGTCTATGACGAGTCTTTAAAAATGGGGCGAGTGGAATTAATCACCATCATTTCGATAATTATATGTGTTGAAAGAAAAGGCCTGTTCAGAATGTGTTTGTCATTTCTAGGTTCAAGTTTGTCATTTCTAGGTTCAAGTTGTAGCATATAGAAAATAAAATAAATTGTCTCCCAAGATGTGAAATGTCAGGGGAAATTTCCTTGTGACATACCAGAAGATATTTTGGATACCATGCATCTTGCTGCTACTCTTGTATGGAAAAATCTGTCACTAGATTTTTATTTTTAACAGGTTTTATAGTAATACAGAAGAATGAAAATTATATAAAAAAGAGTGTGCCTTTAACAATCATCCCTGCTGATTAGTATTTGTCACTGTATTTTATGATCAATAATTGTCAATATATTTTATTTTCAACATGTCAATATATTCTTATTTGTCAATATATTTTATTCTTAACATGACAAATTGTGAATAATTAAATCCAGACACTGAAGCAATGAACAAGTGAGGCAGGTCTTTCAACATAACCTGAAAAAAGCATCAGGGTTGCAGGGACATCTATATATATAAAGAAAGTCCTCTCACTATAAAATCAATGCCCAGGCCAAACCGCTGGACCTAGAGACATTAAATTCAGGGAGAGCACTCCTACTGTGGTGTAGGTGCTCACTAAGAAGGGAGTTTTAGCAATTCACCTTCACCTGAAACTTACCATTCTTTGTATATTGGGCTCTGAGAAGTAGCAGGAGACAGAGCTGTTTGCCCCCCCCCCCAGACGGAAGAAATAGTCAGACAACAAGGTTGGATGAAATAAGGCCACTTTATTAAATTATTAATTTTTTAACTTAACGGCAAAGGGCAACAATGAAAAAACAGCGACACGGCCGGGCCTGGCGTCGCTTCGACTCCCATCGTCAAGCCATATGAGGCAAGACACCGGCGGCCCCCCGGGTTGGAGCCAACCATAAGTCGCTTGCAATCCCGGCCGAGCCAAAATTGGGATGCACCCTCAGGAGCCCTCAAGCACCACCGCATGGCCAGTGCTGAGTCTCCGTCGTGACCATCCCCATAGGCAGTCTGCAAGCCTCACCCAGGCCACACGGCTACAAGGCTGGTCGAGCAGACCCCTTTACCCACACCCGGGGTTATTAAGTGGTGCTTGCGGCCGCTGAACTGTATTTTAACCTAATTCTGCCACTGCAAGGGCCAAGCCTCTGCTTAGGCCCATGCACCCACTCAAACACCTAGGAGTAACCTAAGCCCTTGCCGCAAGTCCTAAAGGAAGATGTCATTTCCTTTCTCAGAAAGGTGCACACCATCCCCTCTGAACAGATCCGGAAAATCAAGCCGAATGAGCCTACCGAGCCCAGTACTGTCCCTGAGGAAGGGCAGACCCCTACTCTTGGACCCACTGCAAGGGATGGAAGCGTACCTGACCCACTCGAGAGTGAGTCAAGCAGAGTGCCTCCAATTCAAAGGTGCACTGAACCTCCTACGCCGCGGAGGTCTCAGAGAATACGCAGAGTGCCCACCTATCTAAGCGAATACGATTGTACTTAGTGTTTTTGCTTAGGGGGGAGGGATTTGTTATGTATTGACTTGAATGTAAATACTGATATGCGAATCGCCTGATTGAAACGCAATGTTAAGCTTCGCCCTGGGCTAGTATCCTAATGTAACCAATAGGAGTCCTAGCCCAGAATGTGTCTGCCAATCACCATGCAAAGCGGGATCGCTTGTTATTGGATGTTAACTCTTCAACCTCATAGGTTGTTATCTGTACAGGGGGTGTGGCTACACTAGCCGGGAAGGTTTAAATATAGACAAGCCAGTGTATTATTCTCTAATGGGTTCTGGCTGGCGATTGTTGTACCGTGTTGGAGAAGTAACGAAGCTGAAGAATAAAACCGCATTCTTGCTGAAATCACTCTCTGACTTCCTTGTTAAGTTCGCGACTTAACACTAACAATTTCAAAGCCCAAAACTGGTGCTTTGTCAGCGGACCACCATCAGCATGGATAAAGAGGTATCTGTCCGCCATGCCCCTAAAAGCCCTGTACTGAGACAAAGCCAATACAGGGCATAGCTCAGAGTCGGAACAGACACCCAACTTGACCACCGACCCATTATGCCGCTGGTCAGTTTTCGATCCCCTAATAGTGATGTGCACCTCCTTTCCCTTAAATTGAAGGTCCCGAATGTGCAAAGACTTGCCTGACTGGTCAGTCTTGGACGTCGCTACAAGTTCGCTTACTCTAAGCGCCGCAATGAATGCCAGCAGCGAAGCCGCATGGAACAGGCAGTCTTCAAAACCGGAACTGCACACTCTGGACCATGTTGCTTGCAATCCCTTCAGCACTGAAGGTGAAATAGGGTGCCTCTGGTCTTTTACAGCCCCTCTTTCCCAGGTCCAGCCTTCCAACATTTTTCTGATCTGAAAGTCCCCAGAGACTTCCTTAAAACCCATAGCCTTGCTAGCGAATGCAAGGGCAGAAAGACGTCCCTGTATGGAGCTAACAGCCAAACCAGCATCCTTTAAATAAACACAGTAATGCATCAGCTGCTCCAACGTAATGGACCAGACCCTGGGATAGCCCTCTAGCTTTCTAAACTCCTCGAATTGGCGAACTGACCGTTCATAGCCTCTTCGCGTGCTAGGGGCGATGGCGAGGCCTATTGCCCTGCAAGCCTCGGCCCTCCAACCTGCCATATCTTCGGGGGCATCTTTGCCGGCTGAAGATCGGTGTCTGGAGCAAGCTGACGAAATCTCTCCATCTGTTTGCGAGAGAGAGCATCAGCTACCCCATTGTCCATCCCCGGCACATGCCTAGCTAAAAACAGTGTGTTTAGCCGCAGGCATCGCAGTGTAAAGGCTCGAACCAGGCACATTACCCGCCTAACTTCCCTTTAATATAGTACACTTTGGCCCCGGTCACATGGGAGGATATGCCACGCAAGAGGGATGGATGGGAGGTGCATCAAGCGGGCGTGATCACACCGCAACATCTGGGAAGCAGCGTGAACCCGTCCCCGATCCGTCCCTTCCAGGCAAAACTGCGCATAACCCCCCCCCCCGAAAACACTACTACCTACCTGAAAATCCGCTGCAGGGACGGGCGTCTGATCGCCGGCGCACCCGTCTCTCCCACAGCATGCGAGGTCCTGCCAAATTGCGCATGCACATGCATGCGCAGTGGGCTGGCCTCACTCTCCAGTCCGTGGCTTCCTCTCAGCATCTGATCGTGCTGGGGAGGACCTGCGTGGTTGCTGGGGGGATCTGTCTGATCCCGCTGCCGCGCATCTCTTTTGGTGCGACTCAAAAAAGCCACACTTTAGCCGCACCTATTTCCCCCAGTGTGACCGGGGCCACAGATCTTCAATTCGAGCAGTTTGCAGACTAGTTCAATGGAGGACTATCAAATGGGGAGGGGGGTCTGCCACCCTACCAGAGAGCCTCAGGAGGTGGCAGTGAAGGTGGCGGGGCTGCAGAGTGGCTAACAGTGCCCAGCATTGCTCTTGACATTATTGGCTTGTGGCAAGAAACCCAGCAGCTCAAAATCATCTGGATGCACGGGGAGGAGGCGAAATGCCGACTTAATATCGCACTTCGCCAATTCTGCCCCCCGACCACAGCGTCGCATAATCCGTACCGCCTGGTCAAAGGAGGTGTACCTCACCGTGCACAGATCATCAGGGATGGCATCATTAACTGAATAACCTCGGGGATATGAAAGGTGGTGAATTAAATGAAATTCACCGGGTGCTTTTTTAGGCACAATCCCCAGAGGTGAAACTCTCAAATTAGGGGTCGGTGGTGCAGAAAATGGGCCCAGAACACGGCCCTCTTCCAATTCCTTGCCAATCTTTTTTCTCACCACCAACTCGAAAACCAAACGTGAAACCATCTAACAAGTAAACTTTATCCACTACTTTAGGGTACTCCCGCAGCCATGCTTCAAGAGCCGTCAGGCTTATTGGACTGGGGCCCTTTTCCAGCGGAGGAGGATGAACCGCCCCGCCCTCTCTGCCTCTGATTCCTGCCCGGCTTTCTCCTCGGACAAGATTGGAAGGGGTGGGGGCCGCCACACACAGGGCATTCATGCCGGAATGGGCATGACTTCCTATCACATACCCCTCGGGACCCAAAATCCCAACAGAGCAAGCGGGGTTGAACCACCTACCCCGTGCCACCACGGGAAGTATTGGCCCCCTGTAAACGCTGCATGATGTGGCCACTATGTGAGCGTTCAACAGCCGCTAAGTCAGGCGTGGACATAATTTGAAGCCACAGATGAGGATGCATCCTATCCCATGGCAGCATGGGATTCATAGCAGCCCTCATCCGGAACTCCTCGTCATATTTAAGCCATGCAGGGCCCGGGAAGCCCGTATAGGCCTTATAAATTATGTCCAAGTACTGGAACAGCGCCGGTGACCACAAAGGCTGAGAACGGGACAACACACCGGCATAAATCAAATATCCTGCCAGCCAGTTGGCCCATGTCCTATCGACCTTCTTTCTCCTCAATATCTCCTTTTCCTTATCATCCATCTCTTCTTTATCCTTCTTCTCTAAATCCCGGTAGAGAAGGCTAAAGAGGTCGATGAACTCACCTTTATATATTTTCTCTTTTGTTGCAGGTAAAAGGTGATCGCCTAACGGCAAGGTGGTATCACCGAAAGGCATCGCTGAAGCAGACGCAGCAGTGTAAGGATTGATCCAAGGGGGGGTACACCCTACACTACCCCAAGGACCAGCTGGAACATATCCCCTAGGGGACTGCATAGCTTGTGAAGGGGCCCCCCAAGCCCAGGACTGTATAGTATCGCCAGAGCTTTTTGCAGCGCCGTTCTGTGAGGCAGAGCCAGCACCTTGACCCCAAGGCTCCCATGGCCACATCAAGCTCATCTGCAATGCCGGGTCCCACATACCACTAGGACCAGGCTGGACGTGCTCCACCACTTCCACTGGCGCAGGATCCTCCTTGCCTGCAGCTGCTCCAGACGCCCCGGCCTCATTCCCATCATCAGGCACAACAGCCCCAGACCTGGATTCAAGCAAAGAAAGTCATTTAACGATCTCATCTCTAAACTTCTTTCTCTCGGCCCGACGCTTCTGCCTGTGGTCTGACACCAAAACCATTTGAGGGGGGGCGGGAACCACAACAGACTTAGCTTGCTCCAAAGCAGCAATCCTGTCCAAAATCGCACATTGCTCCAACCTCTCCTCCTCCTCATCAGATGATGAAGGAACAGTTTCAGGGGGGGAGCCGGCATGGGCCTCTTAGGCGCAGGCCCCTTACCCTTCGGTCCCCCCTTTCCCTTCTGAGATGCCATCAGTGCAGAATAAAGAGTACCGTGCCAACGTAAGGTCGTGGGCCTCTAAGAGCTTACTCAGTAAATCGGCCTCCTGGATTACACAGTGCCTCCCAAAATGGCCCCCCAAGAAGCTCTGACTAAAAAGGCCGCCTCCACTGCCTCGTTGATAGGACCAAAATGGCCGCCCCCCACCCAGGGCAAAATAAACCCTAAAATGGCCACCAATCAAGGCCTGCTGAA